TGTCAATTATCTTCGCAATGTTATTTTGTTAGCAGTAGGTCTTGTAGTAATGTTCATGGAGGTAGATTCTCGTTAAATGTTGGTGCTAAAAGAGATAAGAGGTAAGATAATTAAAAATAAGTGTTAAAAGATACTTATGTAAGATAACCCTGAAAATTGATTGTCAGAAATTAAGTAACCAATTTTTTTTCCGGTATATCTGCCGTATATATCTGGTTGAAACAGTGGTAGTAGAGATTTGTGAGTTTATTTAGTTTTAGTGTTATTTCGAATTTAAAAATTTAATTTTTTTGGGATAGTGTTTGGATGTTATGGTCCTGTATACAGGATCTTTGTGAAGATCCTGTCATTATTAGAAAGGTTATAGTGCCCAACTGTCAATTGAGGTTGTTGGAGAGTTTTTTTGGTAAAGCTGATGATGTCGTACCGGATGAGACGCGCATTGGGTCGCTTACTATGTTTGATTCGATTCACCGTGTGGGTTTTTGAGTGCAAACAATACGGAAATTTGTGGGAATTTATCGGAATTTAAACGGTTTTTCTCGTTTTTTTTTCAGAAGTTGGGTTGATCCTAATTAGTCTACTGGTTGTAGTGTTGTATATTGTGGTGAATTTATAATCGGAGTTGTGGGGGTATTAACTATATTGCTTGTTTTCGGGTTGACAAAATTGATGGTTCGGATATTAAACTAATTTCAAACTGAACTCCTCGGTCTCAATGTTGGTGTGGGTGAATGATTTGTCTTTCGACTGTTGTTACTTGTGATTAGCCTTGACTATGATGTCGTGCTCTGCTCAAGTCTTGAGGATGTTTTGGCTAAATGTTGTACGTTAGTTCGTTTTTTAGTTCATTGATTGATGCGTTTGATGTGCTGGTGTCAATGGTTCTGATATTGGTGCATGTCGGCCTGCATAAATTCAGGGGTTCTCGACATAAAAAACTCATGTAGGTTTTTCAAAATTGGTTGATAGTCAATTTCGGTTAAAAATTGTTTGTAACCTAATTAACTTTTCAAAAAATAGAAAATGGATAAGTGTTATGGTTCATAAAAAATATTGAGGAGGAGTTGCTATAGAAATGGTATCTTGACGGTGTGACAGGTTTTAGTGTTTTCATTTTTCTTTAGATCGGCCATGGACTTCTGCTTTTTTCAAAGTTTTCGATTGTTCAATAAGGACTTTGTTATCTTGTCTTGGTTGGTTGCGAAGTCGAGATGATTGGAGTTGTATGGTTTTTCTTTTGTTCCTGAAGGAAATATTTCTTCATGTAGTTCACGGTTTGCTCTTTGGACTAAACAATTTTGTTGTCGTTATCTGGTGGCAACTCATCAGTCTGATGTCCAGTGATTGAATATTACTGTGTTAGTTATCGAAGAGCGTACGTTTTTGGATGATATGGCAAGAGGTCTTTTTATGTTGTACAATTTCTTGTTTTTTGATCATTTAGTGTTTAAGTTAAGTCTGTTGGTTAGTCAAAAACTTGATACCTATCTTTTTTTAGTGATCCTGAGTTTTCCTATATTTTTTTGTGTATTGTGAAAATCGGAACAATAATAAATGTTCCAGTTTATAAATCTGAAGCTGTTGTGAAACGTGATTTTATATTCAGTTTCTGATTTGAATCTTTTTGGTTTTTACCTCTTTTTAAGATCCATTCCGTATAAGTATCAAAGGCTAATTTTAAAATTTGTGGTTGTTAGAAA